GCATGTCGTCAAACTAATACAGTGTCGTAGAAATCTCCTTTCACTATTACGGGTTAATTTAACGACAGTCGCCAAAGTATACGATTAAACGGTAAAATTTTAACGTACGGTCGTCAAAGTAGCCAGAAGTCGTCGAAGCTGCCAATGCGTGACCTAAAATTAGTCGTCGAAGTATACGATTGACATACATATATATATATATATATATATATAGGTATGTGAAACGTACATTGTGAGGACATTTTCATTAAATAACCGTATATTATGTAGACCAAACGTTATTATGAGGACGGTGCTCATAATATTTTATACGCAACGTATATTATGTAGACCGGACCGCACAATTTTTTTATCAATTTTCGTATATTATGAGTACCATCCTTTAAAGTACACAAGACGTGTATTATGAGGACCTTTTTATTTATATGTATTGTATATTGTGAAGACCATATACGCACACCCAATTTAATTTGTTACGATTCGCATGTAATAAAATTTTATTTGGAACTTATTTGAAAGTTATCTATTATTTCGTGCAGTTTAAAGCATATAAAGAAATATTACATAGGAAAAAATTTGTATAGACAATTATAACATATTTTTACATAAAACATAAATAAACGATTTAAAATAACGATATACAGGATAATATTTTTGAAATACTTGATGAAATTGATGGAAAAGATTTCGCTCTGCAAATTTTAGTTTGCCATAACTTTAATGAAAAATGTAAAAAAAAAACATGCTACTTTTACAATATAATATTTATATGCATATAACAGTTTTTTTTTTAATTTATATCCAAACAACTCGAAAATTGTGATTTACGTTATAAAACATTTTGATATTCCGAGAAATTGTAAATTAGAAAATTTTATTTTGCGAATTGCTATCTACCATTGTTTTAACATATGCAAATGCAAACATAACATATAAAAATGCAAAAAATGTACGTTTTCCTATAATCACATTCATAATATGATACGTATGTCTTTCTATAATCATAATATGCATAATAATATGCATAATATTTTTGTACAGAATAACGAGATCTATTTGTATCGTTTCGGTGAGACACCTTATGACAGACATACTTTTTTAACAAGTTTTTTTTTTCATTTTACGCAGTTTAACTCTTTAACGTCTGGATAGACATATGTGCTGGTTATAATAAAAGTGGCTTAAGTAAAAAGAAAGTTGATTTTGTAATTTATTTCGTGTTATATTAATCTGTTAAAATCGCTAAAATTGCCGGCATAGAGTCCGCAAATTGTAACCATTTTACTGTAAAATATACCAGCTCTCTTACTATACGATAGGCCAATGTACTATATACGTATATGTATTAAAATATATTTTTTTCTAATTTTTGCTTAATTTGAGATAATGATTTATGTGTTAATATTTTTTTTCATAGTACAACAAATTGCCTATCAAAAGATCTTATTCTACGAATCGTATCTACCATTGTTTTCAAGCAAAATGTAAGAAAACAACCGTTCCTTTTAAAGTATGATAGGCCAATATATGTATATCGGCAAGATTTTTTTTCAATTTATACTTAAACGGCTTAAAATAGCGATTTTCGGAATTATAGGCTTTCAATAGCGCTAAAAACTGCCGATCGAGAGTGTCTTATCGTGCAAATTGTAAGCATTTTACTGTAAAATGCAAAAAATATACCGGTCTTCTTACTATACGATAGATCAATATACGTATTAAAATATATTTTTTTCTAATTTCTGTTTAACTTGAGATAATGATTTATGTGATAATATTTTTTTCTGTAGTACAATAAGTTGTCTATCAAAATATCTTATTCTACGAATCGTTATCAACCATTGTTTGCAAACAAAATGTAAAAAAAACAACCGGTCCTCTTAAGGGGATCCTAAAGACCTTCCTGTTGTACCGACATTAATAAATTTAGTAGAATCGATTTATCTTTTTTTGGATTGTACGGATTGCAAAATCCTTGTCTATAATTGAAGTACAAACAGTAACACACAGCGCTGGCTATTGTTTCATACAAAAAAATAACAAAAACTCAAAAAATACAGATTTATTATCGACTTCTAGTGTCACCTCCATTGAACTATATACCATACTGGAACGAGTACAGGCTACCCCCTCCATTCGACAAAACGGTCAGACAAGGCAGTGACTCGGTACCGGATTTCTCTTTCTATCTCGTCTACTCTCGACTAATAGTAGTTGTAAACACGTGACCAAAACTGTTGGTTAGATAAAGAGATCCGGGTCCGAACAGCTATCTCCATCTGACCGGTCGAGAACAAAGGCGTGCTCGTTCCAGTATGGTATATATTTCAATGGTCACCTCAAAAACAAATTCAGTTATTATAACAATTGTATAGTTTGCATACACAAAATAAGTAGCCAGCGCTCTAGGAATTACGTGAAAGAACGATATGCAGCTGTCAGAAATGAGTTTCAAAGTCTAATGTAAAAGATAACTCGATTCTACTATTTCTATAGGTGCGTTGTGTATGTACAAGCTTGCACACACACATGTACATAAAAAGTCGGTAAAACAGGAAGGTCTTTAGGATCCCCTTAAAGTACGATAGATCAATATATATCTGAAAGATTTTTTCTCAATTTATACTTAAACAGCTTAAGATAGCGATTTTCGGAATTATAGGCTTATAATAGCGCTAAAAACTGCCAATCGAGAGTGTCTTATTGAGCGAATTGTGAGCATTTTACTGTAAAATGCAAAACATATACCGGTCTTCTTACTATACAATAGGTCAATATACGTATTAAAATATATTATTTTCTAATTTCTGCTTTATTTGAATTAATAATGTGATAATATTTTTTTCCGCAGTACAATAAATTGTCTATCAAAAGATCTTATTCTACGAATCGTTATCTACCATTGTTTTAAAGTAAAATGTAAAAGAAATAGCAGGTCCTCTTAAAGTACAATATAAGCCAATATATATCTAAAAAGCTTTTTTCAATTTATGTTTAAACGGTTTTAAGGTGCAATTTTCGGATTCATACTGTAAAAATATTATCAATCAAAACTTACTCATGAAATCTTTATCATATTTATCATTATTTTAATGTAAAATGTATAAGTATATTCCGGTCCTCTTACTATACATATCGATCTAAATATATTAAAATATAGGTTCGTTTTTCGTTAGTGAGCCACGCACACTAGCAAGCGCGCGAATCATTGACGTGCGTCCGGCTAAAAGTCGGCGCTGATTGGCCTGCTTTATTCAGTAATTACTCCTTAATTAAGTGTTATAGAAGAAAATGGTAAAGAACTTTTCTGTTCAGTTTATTATGTTTTACCTGCTTACGAGTGTTGGTCCGCGAGTTACCGGACACTCTGTATATAATCTTTTTTACAAATATTATATGATTCAAAATTTAAGGAATTATTTTAAAATTAATACAAATAATTATTAAATTATTTTTTGTATATGTATGCAATGCCTTTAGTCTTTTATATAACATTTGTAATAAAATTTATAATATTTATAATAAAAAATGGATGTTTTAATCCATCTTTTCTTACAAAATTGAAGCGTTGATAATGACAAAAAGATTAAGAAAAGTATTATTATTGCAAGGCATTTACTATTGCAAAGCACTAATATAATAAAAAAATTCCGTTATCAAAATTATCTAATAATAAATAAATATTTAAGTACATTTATATAAATATATAAATATTGTTAAATATTGTTTTATATATCATTAATTTATTGTTAATAGCCTAGATTATATGTTATTGATATCGCAAGATAAGAATATGGCATTTAAAACAAATAGGAAAAATACAAGAAATAAAAAGAGCGTAATGTGGAGATAATAAAAAAATGTATTTAAAGATATTTGACATATATTTTAACA